CCCCAACATTTAACCCCTGCCATACCAGGAACACACCCCAATATTTATACACCCACCATACCAGGAACATACCCCAGTATTTAGTAATCCAAAGAGACAATTGGGCAGGGCTGATAACACTGCTTAAGATTACAGTGCAGCAGAGTCAGAGAGCACCGGAAGTTTTAAGATCAGTTAGGGTTTTTGCACTGTAACAAAACAATGATATACTTTATAGACCAAGTGGGAGCAAACAAGTAAAGTTCATTATTAGGGTTTACACGCATTTTAGGAATTGTATCCCTTCACAGTGACTTCTTCAAAAGGGTTTCTTGGATGAAGATTTAGATTTGCCATTGACATGTTACCTACCTACTGTGGTCATACGTGGAACTGTATGTGGTCATGTCTCTATTTCATTATGTCATAGCTAAGCCAATCTGAACCAAGGAAACATATTATATCAGCCCCCAAAATGCAGAAAGAACTCTGATTATGCGATGGTAACATGAGTTTATGTGTTTTTTATTTTTTTCCTATAGGAACCCCACTCATATGTGTCACTATATGGGCTGTTCTGCGACTCCACTTCGATGACATAACACACTGCCTTTCCTGGGGAGCCAACACTCACCTCACTCTACTGTATATACATAGACACACACAGGTCCACATTACAGTGGAAATTCATCCATGAAAATAACTCAGTGCATACATAGAACTAGAATAAATGCCTACACTATATAATGTAGATGGTTTATGTCTCCAGGGTCTCAGGTGGCTCGTGCAGGCTCTCAGCAGCGCTGTGCTGGCTAGCTGGGGACCTCGGCAGCCTTCCTGTGATCCGCAGGCCTGCACATCTCCTCTTCCATCTCCCTGACACCTGTCAAAATATTTAAAGTGTCTGGGTGTCAGCTGGCCTGAAACCTGGACACAGGACTCAAAAACCGGACTGTGCGGGTGAATCCTGGACAGGTGGCAACCCTATGTTGGAGGCCTCAGGGAAACCTTTTCCCTCACACCAGCCCATGCCCACCCACATGCCTCGGCCTAGCCTGGGGGGCAGGCTGAACAGTACCCAGCGCTATTCCATGGCTGGTCCCGGCTAGTCTGAGCCCATGGCAAATCCCCCCAGCACATGCACCCCATCCCAGCATGCACCTAGGGTTGCCACCTTTTCTTGAAGCAAAACCCGAACACTCTAGCGACGCGCAACATTTTTTTTGAGTCGTGGCTTATTCATATGTAAATAGCGCCGCCCATTCATAGGTAGATATAACAGTCAAGACTGTACAGTGTGGGGCCAGTAGCCCCTATATTAATTTTGTTTGCCCCTGTCTGGCTGACATCTTGAGTCCGTGTTTCTGCTGCCATGAAACCTGGACACAGCATTCAAAACCCGGACTGTCCGGGTGAATCCTGGACAGGTGGCAACCCTAATGCACCACAGGCGGAGAGAAGCCCAGCGATCGGCCGTTGCACTGCACACACACCACAGTGCCTCCCATTGGCCGCCTCTTAATGCGACACAGTCAAGGGGGCACAGTCAAGGCCAGACACCTGGAATCAACCATATATTGGCCACCACAAATCCAGCCAGGCATGTCTAGTAGCCACACCACAGAAGGTGATGAGGGCTACAGACTTTTGAGACAATTATCTTTTTTATTTTATTTTTATCACTTGTGTAGATCACAACTGGCGGGTAAAATTGCACGCGCCCTTCAGTGCAGAACGCAGTTTTTTTTTCGTACGTGGTGCATGAGCGTTTTTATCTGTTCGGCTCTGGTAGTCACTTTTAATTCTCCACTTCCTAATTATCATCATCGCCTCGAGTTTCAAAAAAAAAGAATCCACAGCTAGATGCCCCCCCTGCTCCTCGGTACACGCCGAAGCATTTCACGTTAAGAGCCCTTTTAATAATTCATGTAGTGGAGTGAGTTGTAGAGAGTGCCGAGCTGTACGACATAAATTTGCATTTTAATTATGAGCCTCCGCATCAAACGCCGGGCTCCTGCCGCGCTCAATGTCTGCTGCAGATCTTACCGCTGCTCCAGTTTTTTTGTATTTCAAAGAAAACGCGGCCGCTCCTGATTTATTATTTTTGAGAAACCTTTTTTTTTTCTTTTTGATACACTCGGGGGGCTCTTGTCATTGGGTGACTTACAATTATTTTTGAATGCTCCTTTGAATCTCAGGTGTGGGGTGAGAGCGTCTGTGCGTGACGTGCGTTCATGAATTATTACTTCCTGTCTTCTTTTATGGCGTCGTGCCGCTGATGAATATTTACAGAGAAGGTGGTTAGCACCTGTGTCATGACACAAAGGGGGTGATTCGCTGAAGGCAATTAGACTGCTCGCTTTCCCTCAGCTTATTGAATGTGGTAAGAATTTGCTTTGCAGAGAAGACCCAAAAACATGAGAAATGTAAAAAAAAACAAAAAAAAAACAGCATTTTTGGTTTGATTGGCTGATGGAAGTCAGCAGAGCTTCACCTCATTCACTAAGCTAAGGGGAGAGTGAGCGCTCCTATTTGCATTCAAATCAACCACTAAGTCTATAAAATCCATCCATACAAAATAGATAGTGATGGAACATACCCCAGTATTCATACCCCCACCATGCCAGGAACCTACCCCAGTATTTATACCCCCGCCATACCAGGAACATACCCCAGTATTTATACCTCCACCATACCAGGAACATACCCCAGTATTCATACCCCCACCATGCCAGGAACATACTCCAGTATTTATACCCCACCGTACCAGGAACATACCCCAGTATTAATACCCCCACCATACCAGGAACATACCCCAGTATTTATACCTCCACCATACCAGGAACATACCCCAGTATTTATACCCTCAGCATACCAGGAACATACCCCAGTATTCATACATCCACCATACCAGGAACATACCCCAGTATTTATACCCCACCATACCAGTAACATACCCCAGTATTAATACCCCCACCATACCAGGAACCTACCCCAGCATTTATACACCCACCATACCATGAACATACCCCAGTATCTATACCCCATCGTAGCAGGAACATACTCCAGCATTTATACCTCCACCATACCAGGAACATATAGCCCATTATTTATACCCCACTGTACCAAGAACATACCCCAGCATTTATACCCTGCCATACCAGGAACACACCCCAATATTTATACACCCACCATACCAGGAACATACCCCAGTATTTAGTAATCCAAAGAGACAATTGGGCAGGGCTGATAACACTGCTTAAGATTACAGTGCAGCAGAGTCAGAGAGCACCGGAAGTTTTAAGATCAGTTAGGGTTTTTGCACTGTAACAAAACAATGATATACTTTATAGACCAAGTGGGAGCAAACAAGTAAAGTTCATTATTAGGGTTTACACGCATTTTAGGAATTGTATCCCTTCACAGTGACTTCTTCAAAAGGGTTTCTTGGATGAAGATTTAGATTTGCCATTGACATGTTACCTACCTACTGTGGTCATACGTGGAACTGTATGTGGTCATGTCTCTATTTCATTATGTCATAGCTAAGCCAATCTGAACCAAGGAAACATATTATATCAGCCCCCAAAATGCAGAAAGAACTCTGATTATGCGATGGTAACATGAGTTTATGTGTTTTTTATTTTTTTCCTATAGGAACCCCACTCATATGTGTCACTATATGGGCTGTTCTGCGACTCCACTTCGATGAC